TTTTGTTGCTTTAACCAAGGTTCATTTTCAGAACAGATGTTTTCATAACCTGTTCTGAATAAATAGTCAATAGACACAGACTGAACTGCAAATAATCACTGACATGTTAAATTTTCATTATTATCCACAGCGTGCATCAACTTCCCCAATATGAGACTAATCGGTTCACTTATTAAAACGATTGTGCATATTGTTGGTACAAGTGTTGTTCACTACCTGATCACTGGTGGTTACAAATGCGAAGAACAAGATATGTCCCTTGTCCAGTTCAGCGTGAATGTATGTGTTTACCTGCTCCTATGCAGCTAGATAATACATGGGAAAATAGATATTCAACTGAACGACGAATAAGGCGAGAAGAATGAATTGAATGTATTCGAACTGACCGCATGGCATGGCTCATCTTCGCAGACATGGTAGCTCAGCACAACTTGCTTTTACTCATATTGAATATATTGTTCTGTAGTGACCTACTTTTATCAAGAGAACGCGACTGGTTTAATGGAAACACTTATTATTATTATAACCAATTGTACCAGTGATTGTCTTACTTGTTTGTTTGGCTGTACTAAAGATATTCTTCCTTCCGTTGATTGTGACCTTGCACGCGCTTACGTTCGCTCAGTGATTCCGCTCGTACTCTTTTGGCACGATCTTGGTATTCTTTCGATACCACGAGATCACCAAGAAATATGTCTCGCAACAACCCCCAATCGCCTTCTGATATCTGGTACGCAACTATCTTGTAGTGGTGATCATAGTCAACCGCGACTCGAACCCGCACTATCTCCAGTTCTATCCCCAGTCTGAATGTGTTCTTTACCATTTATTAGTAATCGTTACGATACGGTGAGTCAGTGTAGACAATGACGTGACTTTTACGTAAGATCTTATAGATTATGCAGTTTCATCATGACAAATCTGCAACTTTAGGATTAGATCTATTATTAGAGCTGTGCCAATATTATAGTAGACCATAATTCTACAGAAGTATCATTCAATGTATAAGTGAACAATGGTCAGTTATGCTTGATAGATGATATTATAAAATATAAAGTCATCTATTTCGCAACATGCATTTGACTATGACCTTGAAGTATCACACTGAGTGTTGCAGATCATTCATAAAACCGAGTTATGTCTAACGACAGATGTATACAAATACCCCCTTTAAATTCTGTAGTTATTAAATAGATACAGTCAGACTTATCCGTCTGAAGGCGGTTCGTAATGTTGATTTCACTGTCATGAGGTTAATCGCCCCATTGTTCTGTATCTTCCTTTGTATACTACGTTCATAAATGTGTTTAGAGGTTAATACTCCCCACATATATTTGGATAACATATTGTCTTTTCCATAATATGAACACACGAATATATTCCAATAACATCCTCTCGCTTGATCTCATCAGCATTGATCAATTCTAATTTTCGTTAACAGTGATCAGTATTTATCGGTTGGCATTATTTGCATGGCCATTGTAAAATCACATCAAAATTTCCCCTATGTCTTACAATATATAGTCGATCTGATAATTTAATTCTTTACGCATTAACACGAACTACACACCATGGTAAACAAACATGCAATTAACGTAGAATAAATATGGTTTTGAAATTCATTATTCAGTTCAAACTTCCAGAGTGTCTTTGTAAATTCTAGGCATCACACTCTAAATATTTCATTTGTGTGTCATGCATCAGTTGTCATTTACATTCTTCATGATTCTCACAATTATGTTTGTATTCCAATTCCAAATCAGAATTATCACACATATTCAGTAAGTTACAACTGCATTGATTCGTTTCATCAGCACATTCAATCCCTACCAAGATTGACAAGATCATTCACGGAGTACCAGAGAGTTCGGAGACAACAAGTTGTAATAAACAGGGATTAGGCCTAACCAATGTAAAGAAAATTATAGAAAGTAGACACATTTGATGTATGTGACGTCCGAAATTAAAAACATTTATTTCGTCATGACAAGAATGTGTTTGAGTTAGGCTGTTGTAGAATTCCTGGAGAGAATTTCGATCGGTCTTATTGTTATATCTTGAAAAAGCTGATTTTTCTTGACATACCGCGTATAACAGAGCACTAGAAAACAAAAACCCTTCCAAGTCGCAATAAGAAGACAGAAGACTAACGAAAGGAATATTATTCCAATCAGTGTCAATCATAGTACAAAATTGTTAGGTATTTATAGTTTTTAGTGAGAACGAAATCATCATTACAGTCTTCCAATCCGCGTACAGGGTATTATTAGCATTATCCAATCGGGAAGCTACACGTTGGAATTCTAGAACATTCTTCCAAAAGGTGATTGGATGGAACGTCTTCGGCTCCTTCTGAGCCTCTTACAGCTTCCTTGAGTTCACCGGTGGTCCATCATCACACCTCCCTCCTTTAAAGTCCGTTGTGTAAGATTTTTTTCTTGGATCCACCTGAAGCTTGCGTGTCGCATTCCTCTTGCGGTCCATTACTTTCGAGGGTTGTGCAGCTTTCTCTCTGCGTCGTTCGTCTTTTCGATATTTGCGCTCATGATGGTTCTTCTGAGACGAATCTACGAGCAATTGAAATGGGAGCCGGTTTTCTGTGACCACTGTACTATCATTTCTTTGTATTTGATTTATATGTCTTATGCATTTTCCGACACCTTTCCGGACTAGGTACAGTACATTTCCAATTCGACGTTCTATGACACCTGGTTCCCACTTCCTATTACCTTGATACGATCTGACAAGTACCTTTTCACCCACCTGGAGGCTACGATTGACCTTACGATTTTCATTCGTGGGTTTATTTGTCTTTCTGGGCGGCAACATACTGCTAAAGACTGTCCAGATTTTCCTTCCGAACATACACTCGGCCGGAGACTTTCCTTCTGGTACTGCCGGATTAGGGGTAACTCTGTAAGACATTAAGAACTTATTAATCACTTGTTCCGGGACACCCCCACCTCCCCCTTTGACCAAAGCTCTTTTAATCGTATCCACGAATCTTTCTGCCTGGCCATCCAACTGAGGATGGTACGGAGGAGGTTGTAGATGCAATATGCCATTGTTACTGCAAAAGCGTTTGAAAACAGATGACATAAACTGAGTACCGTTGTCGGTCACTAATATCTCTGGGACCCCAAAACTAGCAAATAATCCTGACAATCTTCTTATTGTACTCTTCGATGTCATTTTCGGCATGTCATATACTTCTGGCCATTTTGTGAATGCATCGACAATAACCAAGTAATTTCCGCCTTGTATAGGTCCGCCGAAATCAGCATGTATTCTTTGCCAAGGCCCGTCCGGTTTAGGCTATGGTTGCAGTTCGGCTTTCGTTGGATTCTTCGCAGCCTCTAGACAGGACCAACAACTGCGATATTTTTGCTCTATGTCATGGTCCATTGACGGCCAGTATGCATAGCCACGAGCTAGTGATTTCATTTTACTTATCTTTGGATGCCGCTGTGGAACTGTTTAATGGCTTGATGTCGAAGATTTCTGGGGATAACGATACGATGGCCAAACATTATACATGAATCGACAACTGTTAATGACTCTCATCGACGAAAATAATGTAAGAGTTCTCCGTGTAGCCTAGATGAAGGCCATTTGTTGAGTATGCAATGGCGAACAAACTTCAATACATTATCCTTCTTGCTAGCCGCTTTGATGGCTTTGAATGTGACCGGGAGTCCGGAAACTGCGTCTGACAATATTTTGTGAACCTCGGCCTCGACATCTATAGCAGCTACAAGCACCTCTTCTTCTTGTTTTTCATGCAGACCAATCAATCTTGAGAGTGCATCTGCCTGTCCGAAATCCGTTGTTGGTTGATACTTTATCTTGAAATCATAACCCAGCAGTGTGGTAGCCCATCTCTGTAGCCGGTTTGCTGTATATATCGGGATGCCTTTTTTAGATCCAAAAACTGTCAGTAACGGTTTATGGTCTGTAAGTAAGGTGAAATGCCTACCAAACAACATCTTGTGGAACTTTTTTACAGCAAATATAATCGCGAGGGCTTCCTTCTCTATTTGACTGTAGTTTCTTCCAGTCAAAGTCAGTGATCTCGCAGCGTGAGCGATTGCTTTCTCAGACCCGTCAGGGTAGGCATGTGAAATTACTGCTCCAATTCCGTAGTTCGACGCATCTGCTGCGACTATAATTGGAAGATCAGGATCATAGTGTGTAAGGAGAAGGTTCGATGATAGAAGCTGCTTCAGTTTTAAGAATGCTTCCTGGCATTCAGTTGACCAGAACCATTTAGTATCCTTTTTCAATAAGCAATTAAGAGGAGCACGATGGCGATGCAGATCTGGAAGAAAAACTCCATAATGACTAATCATTTCCAAGAAAGAACGTAAACTTGATATATCCGTCGGTGGAGGCATGGACTTAATGGCTTCGACATTTTCAGGATCAGGTTTTCTCCCGTTTTTATCGATTATGAATCCCAAATACCGGACTTGCTCCATGGAAAAAATCACATTTTTCGGCATGCAGTCTGAATCCATAATCTGCTATGCGTCTAAGAACCGTATTCACCTTATTCTCTAAATCAGCATAGTCTGTACCCATGATCAATATATCATCGAGATAAGCCGCGGTACCAGGAATGTCTTGTGACATAGTGTCCATAACTTGTTGGAAGATTGAAGGGGTGGTCTTTACTCCAAAAGGAAGTCGGTTATATCGGAACAATCCCTTGTGAGTGTTTATTGTCAGGTAATGCTTACACTCATCCGCTACCGGAATCTGTAGATAAGCATCTGATAGGTCTAATTTCGCAAAATACTTACCCCCATTCAGTTTCGCAAATAAATCCTCTGGTACCGGCGATGGGTATTGATGGGCTTCAAGCGCTTCATTTAATCCAGTCGAATAATCTGCACATAACCGGATACTTCCATTAGGCTTTTTAACAATCACTATTGGAGCTGCCCAATCAGAAAAGTTTACTGGCTCTATTATTCCACTTCTTTGCAGACGCTCTAATTCTTGTTCAACAATAGGTAGCGCTGCATAGGGTACCGGACGTTTTGGTCTGAAGACGGGGGTGACTCCCGGTTTAAGAATCAATAGTGCTTTTACCTTTTTGCATTCCCCCAACTCTTCCGTAAACACTTGACTGTGTCTTTCCAATACAACACTCTTCAGATCCTTTTCCACCGGTTTGTTGGTTCACACTGCGCTGCATATGTGGTTAATGGGGTGATTTGCTAATTGTAGTGCTTCTATCAAGTCTAGACCTAGCAAATCTAGTCCTGGATCCTGTGTAAGATATAAAGTTGCATTCGTTTTGGCGTTTCCTTTCGAAACTGTACAACAAACCTCTCCAACAATATTTAGTTTTCCTCCAGATGCGCTGTGAGCTAACTGGGTTGTTGGGAGAACCTGTGGTTTACCGATAAGATTCCAAGTTCTCTGACTAATAAGTGTGATGTCAGAAGCGGTGTCGAGTTGCAGGCGGGCACGCCTTTTATTTATATCCAAGTTTACATACTTTCTTTGGCGGCAAATTCGTGCTCGATGTGATACCAATATTTTGTTAGTTCGAGCACTAAATCTGTATTTCTTCGAGTAGGGTTTCAAAGAATGTCGTTTATGGGTTCTTTTTCTGCAGCAGTTTTCTTTATGTCCCTTGCGATGACACTTGCTACAAAAATGTTCTTTATGTGGGCAGAACCTTTTATAATGCCAACCACCACAAGACCAACATGAAGGCTGATTATCTGTGTGCGATACCTTTCTTAAGCAAGAATCGTTTTTTCCGCTTACAGCACGAACGTATGGCAACTGGCCATTATTTTCGACCATCGAAGTGTCATGCTTTAGGTTTACCATGCTCTGGCACTCTGTGGTTACTTCTTGTGGTGTCATATTCGGACATTGTTCAATTTTACTCAAAATTCTAGTTCTAATATCGGCATCTTCGGGAGATTGGAGGCTGCATACAAATACGAGACACTTAAACTGGTCTTCTGTCATTGCTGATAGTTTGTAGCGCTCACATTTACGGTTTACTAAACCCGCATGCTTCACCCAGTCATCATCACCTGCTTTTGTCATCTTGAGACATTGATAACGAATATTAAACAAGGATGACTGCTCAGCAAAGATTTGCGACAAAATTTCAATCGTTGCATCGAAAGAAAAATCTCTTGGATTCTTTGGAAGGATAAAGTTACTGTAACGTTCATGTTCAACAGTTCCAAGTTTTCGCAAGAGTATTCTGACCTTAGCGGCGTCATCAAGGTTTTTGAGGTCGACCGTGAACAAATCTTCATATATCTTGAACCAAGTTTCAAAAGTAATGCCAGCTGAACCATCAAAATTAAATTCATGGATAGAATTAACAATCTGGTCAACATGAGATTTGAAGGGATCATCTGTAACTTCTTTTTGATCCAGGTTCATTTTCTGAGTTAGCATCTCTATCATGCGCATTTGAAACTGTTCAAAACGTTTTTCTTGGCGTTCCAATAAGGCTTCAAATTGTTCAAAGGTAAATGACATATTGGTACAATAACCCGTCGCCAGATGTTATATCTTGAAAAAGCTGATTTTTCTTGACATACCGCGTATAACAGAGCACTAGAAAACAAAAACCCTTCCAAGTCGCAATAAGAAGACAGAAGACTAACGAAAGGAATATTATTCCAATCAGTGTCAATCATAGTACAAAATTGTTAGGTATTTATAGTTTTTAGTGAGAACGAAATCATCATTACAGTCTTCCAATCCGCGTACAGGGTATTATTAGCATTATCCAATCGGGAAGCTACACGTTGGAATTCTAGAACATTCTTCCAAAAGGTGATTGGATGGAACGTCTTCGGCTCCTTCTGAGCCTCTTACAGCTTCCTTGAGTTCACCGGTGGTCCGTCGTCACACTTATTTAGAATATGTGCAAATCATGTGATTTGCATTGTTCTAATCATTGTGTCACCAGTTATTAATATTTGATGGATTGACGCTTATAGTGGAATCCAGGATTCGTGTCCCATTCTATTTTGGATTCACCAACTGGAGGAATTTACGTTAGTATTGATTTATTCACTGAGACCAGAACCTAGTATCATTTACTACGAGTCTGCAACACGTTAATTGTTGAAGCATTGAGTTCAGTTAGTCAGTAACTTGTTTGTTTGGTATGAAGAATCCATTATTTCTTAGTAATTTATGATACGACGATCATATGGAGGCAGTGCTCACAAAATGCCAATTCGGTAACTAACTAATGTGAACAGAGAAACTAGAAGCTTTGTCAAACTACGGAAGCTATTTTTCAGGACGGCATTTCATTTAATTCAGAGCTTGTAAAACATTAACATTTGGTTTTGTCTTCAGTCTTTTCTACGGATCATAAGCTATCATTTGATGTATGATTCACTGCCATAACACGTATTGTTCGAAAACCATTGTAATTTAGACGTATTATCTTGTAATCTATTTTCTAAGCTAATCCCTAGTTTTGGACATAATTGTATTTTCCTAATTATTGTACATTGTGGTCGGATAAGTCATGTTATTCATGTATCTTTTTACACTGATCTGAAATCAGGAACTCGGGAACCAGATTGAAATTGAGAACAAATCGAGTAGTGTCTTGTCTCACTCGCGTGCTCGTCAGCCAATCAGGTGATAGAAAAGTTTTCGTCTCTCTCCCCCACTTCGAACTCACGCGTATTAGCCCCAAGGTTAAGCCGGTCAGCCTATTGCGTTAAGGATGTCACAGGTATTCAGTGTTTGACAACGCTTTTACCAGTAACACCTTCTAATGTATTTCGTTCCCACCCAGAGAAATCATAAGACAGAGTGGAAGAGATCAGGAGAGCGTATTTGGCGATAACCAATATATCGGAATTCTCTGATCTAATCTGGCTAGCGATTGCGGTTGATGTTGTGCACGTTGTTACCACACGTGATCTGGTGCGGATGCCTGACCGAGCGCCTTCAGCTAGATGAGTCCACTAAAACATATGGTCAGCATCCAATGTCGAAAACGTAGTGCTATTTATTTTGGGGATTTATTTACCGCTACAGATCACTACCCCCCTAGTGGGGCAGCTACGACCCTAAGACGTGGCCAGCCAGAAGTTTAAACCCAACGAGTCTGTCGTTGGTAAACACTCTTCTGATAGCTTACTAAGTTTAGCAGCGTCTGGTCGTCTTTCCTTACTGTATGGGACCGAGGTACAACATAGTGAAAAAAGAAAGTTACAACGAAAATTTCGATTCCTCGTAAGCTGCATCGTTCTTTTCCAGCCGTCCTGGAAAAGAAAAAAGAAAGTGTAAGTGCATGTCGAAATACACTCGTATGTGCGTAAAAACACAATGTCGGCGAAAAAAATGGAAAATATACTCAAGCACACATAATAGCGTTAAAATAATGTTTTTTTTTGTTTTGTTTTTTTAAATAAAAAAATATAAATATATAAGCATATTAAAATTCTTTTTTTTAAAAAAAATTATATATCGTAAAAAGGAAGATCGAGATAATATAAAATGTCGAGTAGTGCTTTACATGCAGTAGTCGTTTAAATGTTCTGGAAATCTTACTCTTCTTCCAGAACGCGTCGTTTTAGGTTTATTTTCAGATACATTCGGAGTGTCATCGCTAGTGTTGGTTGTTGGTTGAGGAATTATGAGTGGAGTCGTGTTGTGCGATTGTACCAAAGGAAAGTCGCCGTAGATAGGATTTCCTTCTAAATACGCTGCTTTTAAGCGATCGATGCTGATGCTATCGTTTGTTCCGTTCTTATCGACTATAGGGAAGCTTTTAGTTGTTGGTGAAAACGTTCTACCAACCCGTTTACTTGTGGATGGTAGACGGTCGTTCGGAAGCGAGTGATTCCTAATAGTGTGGTCAGACGACGGAAAAGTTCAGACTCAAACTGACGTCCGCGGTCTGTGGTGATGGTTGAACGGCAACCGAAGTTTGCTACCCATCGTTCGACAAAGGCGCGAGCCACTGTTTCAGCAGTGATGTCCTTGGTAGGTACTGCTTCTGGCCATCGAGTGAAACGGTCTACGCAGGTTAAAAGGTAAGAGTATCCATTTGAATCTGGTAAAGGTCCTACCAAATCCAGATGAACGTGGTCGAAACGAGCATCGGGAGTTTTAAATGAGCCTAAGGGAGATTTATTGTGTCTGATAACCTTAGATTTTTGGCAGCTTACACAGGAGCGTGCCCACTCCCTCACGTCTTTATTCATACCAGGCCAGCAAAACCGTTCTGCTATAAGCTTGATGGTTGCACGAACACCTGGATGAGAAAGTTTGTGCAATGTATTGAAGACATTGCGTCGATAATTTTTCGGCACGATTGGGCGATCCCTACCTGTAGATGTGTCACAAAGTAAGGTTTCCTTACCTGTACCCATCTGTTTGAAGCGTAGTTTAAGGGTTGTGGACGATAACTCGTGCTGAAGATCAGTGTCTTCTTTTTGAAGCTCGGCGAGTTTAAGAAGGTCGATTCCTTGGAAACTGTTCAAGGAAGTTATGCGAGATAAGGCGTCTGCAACTACATTGTTTGCTCCAGAGATGTGTTGAATGTCTGAAGTAAACTGCGAAATGTAGTCCAGTTGTCGAGACTCATGGGGAGAGTACTTGTCTGAAGGAGAGCTTAACGAGAAAGTGAGCGGTTTATGGTCGGTGAAGAGTGAATTCACGACCTTCGATGTAGTGTTGGAAATGTCGTACAGCACAATACATAGCTAGGAGTTCCCTACCGAATGTGCTATACCTCGATTCGGTGTCTAGCAACCGTCTAGAGAAAAATGCTATGTGTTGCCATGAGTTGTTAACCCATTGTTGTAAGACGTCACCGATTGCGGAGTCGGATGCGTCTACTGCGATACTCATGGGTGCTTCGGTGTCCTGATGTGCGAGCATTGTCGCTTTAGCAATCAGTTCCTTAACTGTGGAGAATGCTTTTCGTGCGGTGTCGTCCAAATTAATGGATTTCGCATTTCCACGAAGTTGGTCGGTTAGCGGTTTCATGAGTAATGCGCATTTCGGTATGAAACGTCTATAGAAACTCACGTGGCCGTTAAATGTGCGTAATTGCTTGATCGAGGTCGGTTCTGGGTAATCCGGAATGGCCGCCACTTTGTTCCTAAGAGGTCGAATGCCTTGAGCATCGATAGTGTGTCCTAGGAAGTCTAAAGAGTCGGTTCCGAATTGGCATTTCCGAACGTTTACAGTAATGCCATGTTTTTGTAGTCGTTCGAAAACAAGATCCAGATGCTTGAGATGTGTTTCTCTGTCCGAACTTCCGAGTAGACAGTCGTCAACATACGCATGTACGAAGGTGAGACCTCGAAAAACGTCGTCTATGAATCTTCGGAAAAGTCGGCTTCTGTCTAGCAAAACCAGGCTTCGATGTTGTCGGGCCAGAAAGGCGTCAGTTGAAACGAAGGTGGGGACAAAGTCTTAAGCTTGAGTACTTTAGGTGTCTGTTCAGTCATGATGAAGTATGAAGTACGATAATGAACGAGGGGAAAAAATATATATCCAAGAAAAAGCAGGAAAAAAATCAAAATGTTTAAAAAAATAAAAAAATAAGGCAATGATATATAAAAAAATCCCAAAAAGGAACAGACTCACAGTTGCAACTAGGTGTACCAGATCACGACGGTCTAACCAATGATGATGTCACACGTATTCAGTGTTTGACAACGCTTTTACCAGTAACACCTTCTAATATAATTCGTTCCCACCCAGAGAAATCATAAGACAGAGTGGTAGAGATCAGGAGAGCGTATTTGGCGATAACCAATATATCGGAATTCTCTGATCTAATCTGGCTAGCGATTGCGGTTGATGTTGTGCACGTTGTTACCACACGTGATCTGGTGCGGATGCCTGACCGAGCGCCTTCAGCTAGATGAGTCCACTAAAACATATGGTCAGCATCCAATGTCGAAAACGTAGTGCTATTTATTTTGGGGATTTATTTAGCGCTACAGCGTCAAGGTCTTAATCTACATTAGCCGAGTTATCATCAGCACCAATAGTGGATAGACAAATCAAGGACGTAACATTAACACTGATAAACATTCAGTCTATAGTATCAACAATGGGTTAAATAGAACCATAAATGTTAGTGATATAAACACTTGGCTGGTGGAGCAAAATGGTGGCTTACTGAACCTAGTTGCTCGGTGGATGCTGAGGATGCTGGATGTCCGGAAATTAACTGGAGGAATTCTGATTATTGCAATTTAGTTGCGCTAATTCTCATTTTCTATTTTCATTCCTGAAAACACTCAGTTTTGCATTAAGTTTGTGTTATGCCAACTATTCTACAACCAATTTTGGCTATGGATAATTTTCAATAATTAATTTACTTAATAGACTATTGGTATATTTCTATGACTATAAATTTACCTATGTAATTGCATGTATATACTTACTCGCCTCTTCACTTCGAATTCGCTTGATGAAGTTAAAGCTCTGTGATCAGTGCTATCCACTAATGAACTGTAGCTACAGCTTCTCATTGCCTTCTG